CGGTTTTATTGTCTTCAGGGTACTGAATTAAGCGACTCTCTTGGTCTGTGTGCTATAACTATTTCGCTAGTTTCAATATTCTAAGCGTTATCTCAGAAACAGGCTTTACTTACAGTTGAATGAATTCTCTTGTGAGTTTTGAGGATAATTTCTTACTGGTAATTTGATTCAAGCGCAAACATTTTGATGAAACCATAGGGGTATCCAGATTTATATATATAATTATTTGTGTGTGTGTACATGAGGTTTGTCAAGTTTATAAACACAAGGTTAATCAGACAGAAACTTAAGTAAGATTGAGTTAGTAACTTACTAACTCAATCTTACTTACTTACTTACTTAAGATGACGTAATATAATTGACCAAAATGTTTCAACTTAGGTCAGGGTAGCAACAGAGGTAATTATAGGTAGAGACTAAGTATGCCATTTAAATTAGAAGTGAAATTGAGCAAATAAGTTGCATGACGTAACATAAATGACTAGAAATTGAGCTAATTTAATAATTCCCATTGTAGCATTAAGAACACAATATTCAGCGAAGAGACTCTTTTCAACGAATTTATTATCAAGCTGTACAATCGTATATATATGGTTTTTTAAGAAATTATATCCGGTGAGGGAATTAGGTCAAAGGTGTGAATACATGAAATAATAATAGTATGAAATGCAATTAAAATATTTGTGATTATAATCATAGTTTAATGTCAAGTGGCACAATAATTAATGTCGTATATAGAATAATACATAAGGTGTATAGATTTTGGAAAGGGGTACATAATTATAAGATTAGTAGACGAATATAAAATGTTACATAACATGGTGTGAAATTTGATAAGATAGAATTCAATATTGTAAAAATAAAAATATAAAAATTAATAATTTTGGGTTTAAAATGTCAAGTGGGTCAAGTGGAAAAGATTCAGAGTGAGAATAGTAATAATAATAATGATAATAATATTAATAATAATCGTAGTAATAAGGGAAAAGTACATAGAATAACTAAATAAACAAAATAAATAAATGTCTATCCCTCTACGGCCAAGGCAGAAGTAGGGATTGTACATACTTCTTTTGTACACAAAGGTCTGGCTTAAAGTCATGAATTGCCAAGGCCTCAGCTGTCTTTAGAAGTCTGTAACGAAGAAAACGCGGGAAGTTAGCATGGATTCTATATATGATCTTAAAATCATGGTCAGGGTTGACAGAGTGACAGAAGTCGATCAGGTGTTCCAGAATAGAGCTTCGCACACACTTCCTTTCTCCCTTGTAAAACCATGCTGGAATGTGTTCTCGTATCCGTGTGGAAAGCGTCCTCTGACTACGGCCAATGTACCTTGCTCCACAAGAGCAGGTGAACTGATAGATGCACATGGAGGCGGCCAGACGGGGGAGCTTATCTTTTACAGAGGTAGAGAACAACTTGCAGCTAGTGAACGTCATATGTAATTTTGCTGCATAGAACGTCTTACTGACTGATTTAGAGAGACGATTTTTGAGCATATCTGAAGCTTGATCACCTTTGAATTCCAAGTTCATGAATAAGGTTTTCTTTGGAACTGTGTCGGTGACCAGTTTAGACTGCTTATCTTTCATGTTGCTGTCAATAAATCGGTTAGGGTAACCGTTTTCTGCCAGCGTGGCTTTTAAGAAGTCAAGTTCCGAGTCAACGGAATCAGAACTACAAATTTTCCTTATCCTAGAGCAAAGCGAATGAATTAAGTTCCTTTTCCTGGAGATAGGCACCCAACTGTAAAAATTAGTTAGTTGTCCGTTCCATGTACGTTTCCGGTGGATAGATCTTTTGAGAGATCCGTCATTACGTCTGCTGAGGCACACATCAAGAAAGGGAATACTTAGTTCGGATTCCTTTTCTACGGTGAATTGTAAAGAAGGATGGCAGTTGTTGAAAGTAAACAAGACATCATCAAGAATTACATTTTTATCGCAGATAACGAAAGTGTCGTCTACGTATCGTTTATAAATGTCAAAATGACCGATGGTTTGACTAAGTTGAGAATTTTCAAGCTTAGCCATAAAACAATTGAGCGTTGTTCAAGTCAGTAACAGTGGTAGTGAGGTGTAGAAATTAAATCGGGTGAGGTTAGGGAACAAGAAAGTTTAAAATATAAAATATTACAGTTGAGAAGACAAAATAATACTAATGAAGAAACAGAAAAAAAAAGTTTAAGTAGAATTTACTTGTCGGGTAATAAGATAAATTACGTCCATTGCAAGTGTAGTGATTGAACGAACTTCTTCTGTATGCAGAGTTCAGGACTCAGCGAGTGAATCACCATTGCTTCTGCAGTTTGAAGAAGTCTGATTCGTACACCTTTAGGAAGACTACTTCTTACTCTGTAGACGACTTTGAAGTTTGTTTGAGGTGTAGCTTGGTGTCCGGATTCTATCAGATGTTCTAAGATGGAGCTGCGGGGGCATCGATTTTCTCCTTTGTAAACCATGTTGGTAAGTGTTCGGTGATACGTTTGGAAAGCGAGCGCTGGGTACGGCCGACATACCTGGCTTCACACGAGCAGGTGAATTGATAAATACACATTGATGAGGCCAGCAGAGGTAGCTCATCCTTCACGTTCACATGCAATCATAGGTTTTGTGGAGAAGGTTAATTGTAGTTCAGCTGCGAAGAAGGTCTTCTGAAGTGAGCGTGACAGTCGATTTTTTAGTGTTTCCTCAGATATATCTCCACTGAATTGAAGATTCATGTAGAGTATTTTTTTCTTGACGCTAAGCATGGGCGGCTTTTGTGGTCTAGGATTCATAGATTTTGCAACAAATCTTTCTGGATAACAATTCTCTATGAGGATTCTCTTGAGATTGTCCAGTTCATCTTGTATGGTGTCCGGGGTGAAAATTCTGCAAACTCTGTAACTGATTCAACAGATCAGGTTTCGTTTGGTGTATTGGGGTACCCGACTGTGAAAGTTAGTAAACTATCCGTTCCACGTCGATTTTCTGTGGATAGACCTTTTCAGAGTTCCATCCTGTTCTCGTCTTGTTATTTGGACGTCAAGAAAGGATATTTTGGAGTTGGACTCTTTCTCCAGCGTGAACTGAATCGCGGGGTGGCAGTTGTTCAATATTTGTTCTCTGAATAATGTTGGTATACAGTTTGTTTTGTGTGTTGTTGGATCATTGCTTTTACGGTTGAGCATTTATTCTGTGTGGGTTGATTTCCGACATACCTGTGTCTCTAGATTTCTCTTGTTTGTTGTCTTGACTAAGACACATCATCTAAGAAAGGAAGTTTGCTATCTAATTCTTATTATTTTGTTCAGCTAAATTTATCTTCGATTACGATTTTTGGACCATTTGGCTAGTGTTATTCATTCAGTTTAATTTACGTAATCTCCTTAAACCTTATTGTTTTCGAATAGATTTCACTTAGTTTGTGTTGCATAACTAATCTGTCAATGTTTTCATTATCTTTTAATTTTAGATCGGCTACCTCATTGGGGTAAGTTTAATTAGAATTAAATTTATTCCTTAATTAAAATCTCATACATACATAACACTTTGAAATATTTTCAATATGTGATTGAAATATATTTGAAATATATTATGTTCAAGTATTGGTTTTGTAGGGATTTTGTTTGATTGCATGGAGGATTTCATCATGAGGTGACATCAGTTAGAGAACCACTGGAAAACCTGAGAGTACTGGACAGCTGTTTCGTCCTAGTTTGCACTCTTCATCAGGACGCACCCGATGGGGTTAGAACCCAGCTCGCCTTGTAACCAGAGGGTCCTTGGTTCGAACCCCAGTGGGTGCGTACTGATGAAGAGTCCCAAACTAGGACGAAACAGCTGTCCAGTACTCCCAGGTTTTCCAGTGGTTCTCTAACTGATGTCAGCCCATGATGAAATCCTCCATAAATATTATGTATATACGGGCTGTTTGTCTGTAAATTCAAACAAGTCTGATGATGTCCGCTAGAGTTTTAAACCTCTTGAATGTCTAATTCGCATCTACAGTTATTTCAGCGTTGTAGAATAGTTTTAACAGGGTGCCAGATAACTTCAGCTGTAACAGTGGCTAGTCATCTCCTTTAAAATCTACTTTAGGATGTTTTGAAAATCAAAGTTCAGCGAAGAGTCTCTTTTCGGTGAATTCATTCACTTAGCTGTACAATTCTTTTGTGTGTGTGTGTGTGTGTACATTAGGACTGTCGAACAAAAATAAAATAAAATTTGGTTAGGGTTACTGTTTACATCATTAAAATGTTTTTAAACTGCGATGAATAATCAAAATTTCAACTAGGAGAGGGGGGTGAAGATTGGTAAGTATTGGCGAAGGTTGCGTAATATGAAGCAGGGTGTTAATGGTGACACGTGTCCAAAAAATGAATTACGTAATAGGTAAAAAGAGTAAATAAAGGGGGTAGTTAAAAAGATGTTACTAGGACGCTATACGAAAATTCAAAAAAGAAACAAAAAGAGAGAACAAAACATTATTAACAAAGTCATAGTGTGGTGAGAGCTGTCTGCAAGCCAAAATTGTAGACAACAATTTACGTCAATGTTTACTTCCAGAATCGGGGTCATGAGAAAAAACAGTAACAAAGCTTAACCTTGAGGAACTCACCAACCAATCACAGCAGACTTAACGTGTGCAAATACGATTCACAATATATATGGCTTAACTTTTTAAGAAACGGTCACAAGCAGTACAGAAGACGTTGCTTCTCCGCTGACAATAATGTACATAAAAATCTATAAATATTTCTTGATTTTCTCAATAAGCGATCTGTTTCCTGGCCCTTGTCTTCTGTCGTTACAGTAGGACTTGGAGTTATATCCAAGTTAGAAGAATGGGGTGGAGGAAGACGTCAAGCTTTTACAAAAGTTTAGTAAGCGCATTAGAGCATCTTAAAATGAGGTTGAAAGTATCTAGAGCACTGGTATGCTAAAGTGATTTTATGTTAAACCGTAACAGTTACTTTCATACCTGAATTACGTCTTTGTTATGCAGTCATACAGCACACTGCAAGAAACAGAGAATTCATCACTTTGTACCTTCTTGGAAAACCTAAGTTTATTGAAAAACGCTGTCCCGTGGTTAGATACTGAGTTATTACATAGCCGAAATGAACAGCAATTCTGTGTGTCAAGATAAAATATCAGAATAACGTGTTATTGGTTAACAATTTTCAACTACCATATATACTAGTAATTTTTAAGTGTTACAAGTACACAGAGTTTATCGTCGTCACTATTGACACATGAACTCCCATGAACGAATGTTCTAATATCCCCTTGATCTCTGAATCGTAGACAGTCCTGCTTAGAACACCAACACTCGCTAAATATTTAAAAAAAATACGTTTTGGTATTCACCGTTCACCAACACCAAACTAGCTTTTATTAATATTCATTTTTTTATATTTTATTGTTGTAGACGAATTGGAACTAGTACATCTGCAAAGAATTTAAACACTATCAAATCATTACGTGTACTTCGTGTTCTTCGACCTTTAAAAACAATCAATCGTGTGCCAAAATTAAAAGTAAGTTTTCACGTATAAATTTTGTCAAATTACTAAAGTATATTATTAAACTGATTAGCAAAAAGGCTGGTGAAATAACAGTCTCATTACGAGTTACGTCACGAATCGACACCAGTTAGATAATCACTAAAATCAAGGGAGTACTGGACAGCTGTTCCATAGTAGTTTGAGACTTTTCAGTATCACACAGCCGTGACCCACAAGGAAATGAACCTGAAACCTTTAGGTTACCAAGCGTACTCGTTGTCCCTTCAGCAGCTGAGACAGAATCCAATGAGATGTGACTTCTACCTTTTGCCAGTTTACGGTATATAACGCTAGCGAATGCTACTTAGGAGTTCCAAACCACTAAGGAACAGCTTTACAGTACCTCCTTGTTTTCAGTGGTTCTCTAGCTGGTGTCAGTTTTTCTCATATAGTTCTACTGCTTTAATCTTGAAGATACTGTTTACAAAAAGAAGATATAGCTTCGTAAATAAACCTTCCAGTTCTAGAGTATTTACACCAAAATAATCTACCTTAGCTGCAAATTTTCCCAAACACTTCTGTATATTTAAGTGTTGGTTTTCAGAGATTTGATTGGTTTCACGATTTTATCATAATCTGATATCTATAAAAGAACCACTGGAAGACTGATTCACCCCAGTTTCGGTCGGTTTTCGATATAGAACTGTGCACATATGTGCGGCAGTTCAAGTCGCCACACTCCATGTAGCACACAAACCAAGAGAAGAAAGTAGAAGAAATGCATAATATAGACAGTAAACAGAGGTGTGAGACAAAGGAGTAGTAATAACGAAGAACAAAACAGTTTCATTGGAAATCATAAGTCACAAGGATTGGATGCATCTGCGCCACTGACATCGATTTCGAACCATGTCACCAATTGTTTCCAACCATTGATTTTTACCTTCCCGAGGACCCCAACCAGGAAGTCTACACCTTCCTACCTGGCTTAGACTAACTATTGTGGATTTCATTGACTGGTGCCATGTTTTCGTTTGACCGCCGCTAGCTCTTTTTCAGCCTGACCCCATATCAGCTAACATTGTTCGACGAGGAAGGCGATGACTACGCATACGTAACACATGTCCTAACCATCTCAGTCGATGTAATTTCACAGTCTCGTCGATTGATTTCCCGCCTTATCTAGCACTCGACGCCTAACCTCAATATTGCTCACCTTATTATACCACTTCACGCGGGAGATGGAACGCAGACACCTATGATTGAAGACAGCTAATCTTTTCATATCTTCAGCTCTCAATGGCCAGGTCTCACAGCCATAAAGGAGAACGGAGCGGACTGTTGAGCAGTACACACGCCTTTTGGTCGATAGCCAGTCGGATATCGCGTCTACGCCAGAGGCAGAGTAAACTGGCATATGCGAAACTATCCCTCTGTATTCGTGCTGAGATTTCGTCGGAGATCAACCCGTTGGGGCTGATGGTACTTCCCAAGTAAGTGAAGCGGTCAACGTGCTCTACCACTTCACTTCCTATTTCTAATCTAGGGGTCGGTGAAGTCCAATCCTGCAGCATCATCTTACATTTTACAAGGGCGAATCGCATGCCAGTTTAGGAATCTCCAGCATTACGCACCCACTGGGGTTTGAAACCACGACCTTCTGGCTGAAAGGCGAGCTCGTAGACCATTAAGCCTATGGGACTATGAATTCTAACTTCTGCCAATTCATGATATGGTGCAACCACTAGCGAATGTCATCGGCGAGTATTTGTCTTCATACCCGACCTTCTGTATCCCGCTGGTTATAACTTCCCACTAGAACCCAGGTAACTACCTACCTGAATGGGGCCAGTCACTAGTGAGCATCAGACTGATATGCTTATCTACTGAAAACTAAACAGTAAATGGGTGGCTGTATTGACTCAGTGACCCAGTGGACGAAGCTCCGGTGTTTGAGGCGACGTGTTCTGTGTTGAATTCTTAGTAGGGACACTAAAATCACTGGAGAGTAAGACTCTGTGGCTATCCAGCACCAAAAACAAGCGACTCACTAAGCCTGAACGTGATCAATATGGTCACACAGGTAAGTGAAACATCAGTGAAACATGAGTAAATACATATTAAGTTTGTTGACTTTTCCATGAAATAGTCGGAGTCAGTTTTTCTTAAAATAACAACACTTAAAATAAGTTAGACTCGATCAAACTACTGACGTAGACGTGTCTACATTTTACGCTTAAATCATGTGATTTTATCTGTTTCATTTCCTCGTCTGATCATCCACTGGTGATTGCTTTGTTTCACTGTTAGTGTGAGAGTTAAATAAACATAAATACAGTGTAGAGTATATTGTGATGCATTATAATGATTGTACATAATAGATTACAAATTCAAGGAAAAGATTTAATTAATTAACGATGAACAAGGCATCATGACTGACTAATTACTCACTCACATGAAATTTGTTCATCAGTTTATATTTTTTTCTTTGATTGTGTGCGTTTTTCATAAGGTTAACTGAATGCACACATGCTGTCTACACCCCTCAATTAGTTTAGTTTTCAAAAGAGAAGATGCTCTATTTTCACTTCTAAGAAGTCTAGGATAGTTTCCTCTACTGAACACAAAATAAACCAGCAAGCTACTTGAAGTACACCTTGTTAGTGCTCAGGAAAAAGTCAGGCGAAAATTTCATTTTCTTCAGCGTAGTTCTTTTTTGATCTGAAATTTTTTCTGTTAGAGTTGAGTGAGAAAGAGTGAGGGAATTACGCAAAAGTTCTCTCCATATGGTTTCTTTAGTAAAGGAAAGCTAGAATTGTTATCTGCAACTAACAATCATGCGTGTTTCTAATTCAATTTTGATTTTTCCATGGATCTATTGAACGGAAGTATTCGGCTGCTAGTACTGACGCGTTGACGATGTCTGTGGATTAACTTGAAGCAATTTGATGGATGGTGGCTAGCAGTGTTATCCAGGATACACGCGTAGTCCTATTCAGGACTCGTTAGATGGATGTACCTGCGTTCCTCAGTGAGTGATGGTGTTCCCAATTAGGCTTGGACGCAGTAGCCATCGTTTCAAACGCCTGAACGTATTTGAAAATGTTTTTATTTCAAACTGACTCCGACTAATTCATGAAATCTTGTATAAAAAAAGCCAACAATTTAGTATGTATTTTCTCCACTGATATATTCGACCGTATTGATCAGGTTCAGGCTCTTTGATTGGACACCTAGATATTATCACGGTTGAGAATGTAAAATTTATGGTGCTGATTAGCGGTAGAACTGCACAAGTGACCCATGTACTTCTCAGTGAGTGATATTGTTCCCACTGATACCCGGAGTTTAAAACGATGGGTACTGCGTTCGAGTCTCACTGAGAAATGCAGATGTACCCGGCTAATAAGGAATTCCAAACAGGATGAGATATGCATCTTGGATTCCACTGCTCGTTACCATCTACCAAATTATAACAATCATTCTGCCTTCAGGCACTACATATACAAGCCTTGAAGTCACTTAGATAGACAGATAGTGCACAGTTGTATAGTATGCCACGCCATGATTATTTTCGAACACTGAATGAGACCTTATCTATATAAATGCTTTCAGTCAGACTTTGTATTCCTATGCAATAACAAATTAGTCAAGCGTTTTCATATAATCTTGAATGTGTTTCGTTACTATACGGAATAGGATTAATCGTCAAATAGTAACGACATAATCTCATTTAAAAGCGCATGCATGAAAATATAAACTGAAATGCATATTTATGTAACATACTCGCCGCTCGAATGATTGAGATGTTAGTTTTATTATGAGAAAGATTAAAAAATTAAGGGTTTTGAGCAGATGATTTATGCTAGAAACCATGCAGTGTTGTACATTCATGAAATAATTCAGAATCATGGCTCAGATTGCCGATTTACTCAGTTTTATTGACTCTTCATGACTCATAGTTTACAGATTTTATAACTGTGCTTTATACCGCAACTGTCACAACTGAATTTATTGAGGACGTTAGGTAATGGTCGAGAAAGGGAAGAAGTTGGATCACTTAAAGCATTGGAATTCAAATCGATAACGACTTCATTCACAGCAGTGAAACTTCCATATTTGCTTGTGAATATGGTTGATGTTGCTTGCCTTTTAGTCAAACCAGACTAAAACGTAATATCAGTCTGATTTCTACCCAAGATTTAAGTAGCATTTTAAAGTATTTATGTTTTCATCTTCTAAATCACAAAAAAAAATATTGGTTATTCGTCAAAATAATAATAAACTATCCTTATGTTCATTGTTCATTATCTTATTTTTTCCTCTTTTTCTCAGGCTGTATTTGATTGCGTGATCAGTTCATTGAAAAATGTTTTCAATATATTAATTGTATATTGGCTTTTTCAATTCATATTTGCTGTAATTGCTGTACAATTATTTCAGGGAAAATTTTTTTATTGTAATGATGTCTCTAAAGTGACAAGAGAAGATTGCCAGTAAGTGGGTTTTTGTGTGTGTGTATTTTTCCTGTTATTGAATCACTGTTACATAACTGGTGTGTGAGTGTGTTGTTTATTGTCGTCTTCCAAATGAAATATGCATCCAAGACTTAGCTTGAATAAGTCGTTGAGTTGTGTATCAATCATTACCCAACAAATATTTCACCTTTAGTCTTTGCCTACTTATAAGTAGTTAGCGGTTTACATTGATATTTGTAATAAGTTTTACCATAGTGCTGCTCTACAATTCAGCTATTTTAATATCATTATTATTATTCCATCGGGTTCCGAGTGGTAAAGTTGACTTCAACAGCACACCTCTGTTTCAATCTCTTCTCTACAATCCCTTTTAGCTAACTGCAGCATTGCCTATGGGCTTTCATATAATCCTCACACGATCTCCTCTCTGTCACCCTAAGACCACGCCTAAGTTGTCGCTTCCCATTCAGGTTCCACTCAAAGGCAGTCCTGTTGTGTAATGTCACAGAATGACCTCCTCAGTGTGTGTCCTATCCACCTCCATTTTCTTTTGTATATTTTTGGGCAATAGGTTTTTGGTTGACTTCTTGCCTTGCAGAGTTCCATGATGAGAATGTTTTATGGACGATTATCTGATCTTCAGTATAGAGCCAGCAAAGTCATCTGATGATGCAAATCCGTTCGGAATGCTTTCGTTGACGTGCGCGTCAAGTCTCTGAACCACGTATAAGCAACGACTTGACACTGGTGTTAAGAATTCGAATCTTGTTCTTTATACTTAGTGCAGTAGACTTCCATTAATGAAGGCCTGCCTGTACGTTTACAGAAATTATTTTGAAAGCAGCGAAATTCCGTCATTATAAAACCTTACCTTATTTTTCAGATGTACTGAATGTTTGGGATTTTGTTAGTTCAGTTAATTGAACAATTTTATCACAGTCTTGATTCTCGCCTTTATGCGTTGAATAACTGACTGACTGGTTTCAATACAGGACTTTGCACTGGTGTGCAGCAGTTCGAGTTGCCAATCTCTCTCCCAGTAGCACACAAAGCTAGAGAAGAAAGTAAAAGAAGTGCAATACAGAGACAGTAAACAGATACATGAGGCAAAAAGAATAGTAATATTGAAGAACCATATAGTTTTATTGGATATTATAAGTTACAAGGAGTGGATGCATCTGCGCCAGCCATTGAGAACGATTTTGAGCCATATCACCAATTGTCCCCAGCCTTCATTCGTTTTTACCATCCCTAGGACCCCAACCAGTCAGAACGTCTGCACCTCCCTACGTCACTAGCTTAAACTAACTGTTGTGGATTTCATTGACTGATGAAGCCATGTGTTAGTTTTACCACACCACTAGCTCTTTTCCAACCTCATCCATCCTCTGTCAGCTAACATTGCCCGTTGTCGAGAAAGGCGATGGCCAGGCGTACATACGTAATACATGTCCTAACCATCTCAATCGATGTAACTTCACAACCTCGTCTGTTGATTTCCCCTCCTTACCTGGCACTCGACGCCTAAGCTCAATAATGCTCACTCTATTATACCACTTAACATGGTAGATAGAGCGCAGGCACCTATGATCAAAGACAGCTAGCCGGCCTTTTCTTATCTTCCACTTTCAATGGCCAGGCCTCACAGCCATTAAGGAGGACGGATCAAACTGCTGAGCATTATATACGCCCTTTGGTCGACAGCTGGCTGGATATCACGTCTACGCCAGAGATGGCGTAAGTTGACGCATGTTAAACGAGCCTTCTTTATCCACGCTGAAATTTCATGAGCGACCAACCTGCTGTGGTCGATATAACTTCGCAAACAAGTGAAGTGGAAAACATGCTCTACCACTTCACTCCCTATCTTCAAGCCAGGTGTCAGTGTTTTGAATCTTATCCCAAATACAGAATTTACACTCAAAAGCTGGCAGCACGCCTAGTTCAAAATTTTCCTAGCTGGCCCTAAGCCGGTAAAAGAGAGAAGGTTCGTCATTGAGACATCAAACAATGATTTCGACTACTTGTATGGATGCTGTGACTATGCATGAGGCTTGGTTGTGTGGCCGAATTCAGCTAGATGAAGGTCACGTGTTGCGATGTGTTTGGTATACTTCAACAGAAAGTTATAAAAACACAACTTAAACTAGTAACAACTGGTGACTATCGCGAGAGAGGTGGGTGTCTTGAGTGGAATTTGGACACTGTGGTAGAACTTCATTCCACACTGGATTCAACATTGGGAGAACAGAAAGGAGGTCACCGAAAAGCCTACATCTCAAGGGAACAAACGCTTACAATAGTGCCATTACTAGGCATCTTCTTGATACGGATCTTGAGGTATCAACTATATCAATAGGTATAGGAGCTCAGTTCTCCTCAAGTTTGCAGAAGCAATGTATATCAAACGCTTGAAACCAGATTTACGTGTTCAGAAAGAAGCAGTTATCAGTCAGTATTTCCTTGCCCTGGAAACTGGATATCTTTATTCCCTCCTTCATTTCATTACGTTATCCTTGGCTTCAACCCCACACACCCCTTTGATATAGTGTAATTTTGCTTGCCTCTTCTTTCTACGATTTGAGTTGAACTCAGTACATTATTACCTAATTTATTGGTCACTTATCATCTTACGCATCTCTCGTCTTTATTACGTAACTCCTTTACCGCTGTATGCATACATTTACTTTGTTTAAACTTGAACTGCCTGTGTAGAAACTATATAAGCGTAAAATCCTGAGCACTATTCACTAAGCATAGAACGTCCTATCAGCTAAAATCATGTAAAATTTGCAAGTATGTTAGAACTTTTCTGTATATAAACTTAATAATTTATTTAGGCTGTAGGCAGATTATGAGAAGCCAACGAAATAAATGATGGTACCATATTATTCTGCACAAACCACTGTTGTTCTTGCTTTATTCATATTGGAAAAGTTTACCTGATATCACATGTAAAGGGATACAGTTACCATAACTGGATGACAAGTATCATATTATTATTGTATTATTGTTCCCTTGGGTTCCTAGTGGAACATAGGGCTTCAACTGCACGCCTCCACTTGCTTCTGTCTTGTGCTGTACTTTTCACTTGCATCCACGTTAATCCATAGTGTTTCAGTTCCTCATACAGTTTCCATGTATCAAGTACAGTTTATTGTTGATAATCATGTCAACGTATTCGCGAGGCCTGATTTTTTACTTTATATAGTCCTACTCCCCTCCACTTTTTATTGCAACTTTCCATATACCTGGCACTGGCGTTACATCATTTCAACTGCACATGTTTAGTTTTGATTCACTGAATTAGGAATCAGTGATTAACCCCTTCGCCTAACTATATTGCTTTTCAATAAGTTCACCCAGTCCCGCCCTATTTTGTGATTACATACAAGTGAATGCATTGCAATGACCAAGCTTTCCTTTTGATTCTTTAACTTAGCGGGGTCAGTCATTCTAAATTTATCTGCGTATTGACCCAGAAACCTAAACGTTAGCGCTCTGAATGTTATACAGTAATATTTACTGATGACGTTTCGAGCACAATTTATTGCTCATAATCATATCAAGGTGGCACAGCGGTTAGGACTCTCGCCGACCATGCACATGGTCCGAGGTTCGATCCCTTGCAGACGCACACCTGATATCTATTGTCGGCCTGCAAAATTTGGGCTGCCGATATCACATGCTGAAAATTTAACGCTCTGAAGTTTGAATTGATGGGATCTGAGTTAGATTCTTAACTGGAATGCCATCAGTCACTCTGGATGGAGGTACATCCAAATAGTGAGTCCCAAACTGGACGAGATGCATTTCCGGTAGCGACGGTATTACTTTTGCATGGTGGGGTTGCCAAACTTACTAGAGGCTTGAAGAGGTTTAGGAACATGTCGGCCGAAAATCGAATCCCGGATCATGTGTATGGTTGGTTAGTATTCTACCGTCGAACAATATTTTGGCTAGGTCGGAATCCTTGAGTTGCATAAAGTTACTGAGTGCCAGAAAAGCAGCAGCCATATTTACTTGCAGAAGCACTAAAAGGGAAACTGCAGGTCACAGTGAATATCCTGATGCACAAGCTTCGATAGTGTGAAAGGCAGGAATAGTGCTTACCAGCTGAAAGAAGAGACACTTCGTCAAACTCTGAAACAAGAGCAGCTCATACCTTTACAAGAGCTGGTTTAAGACATTGCATCTCACGTTCTACTTCTAACCACTATCAACGTAATAAGATCATGGTTGATGAAATATTCACTGTGAAATTTTCACCTTCATGAATGATTTGTATGTGAAGGTGTAATGAAAATGCTGAGGAGTTATTTGTTGTTACTTATCAGTCAGTGGTGGAAATAATCGGGCCAGTTAATTCTCTAAATGTCACTCTATATGAAACAAAGAACATTTCATTCTACTTAATAGATTTTTTCCTGCATGCTAAAATATACACGTACATGTTTTTAAGGAATGGTAAATGTCTAACTGACATTTCATTTTTAGCAGAGTTAGCAAGAATCCTACTCAACTTTATTCCTCACGCAAAAAAATTTAATCCCTAAATTATGCGGTAATGGAATATTTGTATAAAATATTGAGTAAAGTAATTGCTTCACTCCCCTTTTTTACTTTGTTACAGGGGACAGTTTATTGATTTTAATGATCGTGGTGTTCCATATGTTCAGAATCGCACTTGGAGAACACGTGATTTTAATTATGACAATGTTATTCATGCCATACTGACACTGTTTACAGTGACAACTGGTGAAGGATGGCCAGCGTAAGTGAAGAGGCATGTTTTATTGTTGTACACGCTTTAAAATATTTATAAATTAAATTAATAATTTGTTGAAGATATCCAGCCAACAATAACAACAACATGCAGCAGTCACTATGAACGGGAGAAATTCGGCAGAAGTCTGTTCTTTCACCTACTTAGGCAACATCGTTTCAACTACATGCGGAAAGGACGAGGATACAAAGCCAGTCAGGAGTGGAAAAGCAAGACAAACATTCATTAATCTGAAATCAATATGGAGACCTACTGCACTAGGCAAATGGAATAAGACTTGGATTTTCTACAATGATTTCAAGCAGTTCTTCTATACGGTCTAGAGCTTGGCATGTCACGAAAAGCATTTCCAATGTACTGCAGGCTTTTATCAACAGCTGATTCTGTTGACTTGATGCTGAAGATCAGATGGTGGAACGGAAAGGATAAGGAACAAGAAATTATGGAAGGCAATGAGTCAAAAAAGAACCTATCACCTAAGAAGTATGCCAAATAGGATGGAGGTAGCTGGGCTACCCACTGAGATGACCGTTGAGGGACGTCATCTGCTAGGCCTTCGAGTGGAACCAAAGTGGGAAACGACGAGTTAGGCGTGAGTTTGACCGAGACTGACATAGAGGATAAGATGGAAGCTTATGGTCAGTAATAAAGCCAGATGAAAGGAGCTACGGTGAACAGAGTAAAAGATGTGTTTTTGAAGCTGTATATTCTACTCGAAACCCAAGAGAATCACAATGATAATAACGCGTGGTTTCTTCGTGCTTAACCTTACTTAAAGTCTTTTCTTTGTTGTCTTTTAAGAAATCTCTCCTTATCTCGTTGAAATGACATTAATACGTGGTACTGTATTTAAATACTGTTTAGTCTCTAATTTTACGTTTATTGTAAACGATTAAGAAAATGCAGCACACAATTTTATGAGAAAGAATATTTCCTCTTTATTTACTTTGATAGTCAGCTTAACTAATTAATCTACGAAATGTCCTCACAAGGACTGTATCTTTCGGCTAAAACTATACAAGCACGTAAAATGAGACATGATAAGTATAAAATTCTGTCTTCACTCTAATTTTCTGATGGATCACATATTAAATAATTACTTCAGAAAATTCTCTTTACTTAAAAATTTCATCAAATATATGAAGCTACTTATATATTTGTAAGTAGGCAAACATTGTGAGAAATAAATACATCGTCAACGTAGTCTTCACTGATATTGTGTTTGCAGACATTTGAATATTTTCAATAAAGATTTCATCACACACTGATAACACTGACTTCTGACCCAATAGCTGAGTAGTAAATGTGCCTGGTTTGCACAATAAAGATCTTGATACTGATCCCTGTTTGCACTACGAATGAGTAGAGCTGAAGATTCCCAAACCATTTCAGAAAACCTGTCCATTGGCGCTTGAAATGATGTTTATCTCCTAATGTGTCATCCACTGAAACTAATACTTTAAATGTCATTGCAACAGGAAATGTTTTTAGTTGAAAAACAGTGGCTGATATTCTCTATCACGATAGGCAAATTACTGTTGTCTGTCTGTCTGTTTTCGACATAGAACTTTGCACATATGTGCGGCAGTTCAAGTCGCCACAATCCATGTAGCACGCAAAGCAAGAGAAGAAAGTAGAAGAAATGCATATTAGAGACAGTAAACAGAGGTGTGAGACAAAGGAATAGTAATAACAAAGAACAAGTAATTGGAAATCATAAGTCACAAAGTGATATATTCGACCATCCATGAGAGATTATAATCAACCAAATATTTCTGTTATTCTAGGTCATAATAATAATAACCCCAATTGTAATCACTAAGAGCGATGTAAAGCTGTCAGTCACTCAGTGGCTCCTGATATTCCATTTTCAAGGTAATTCATAATGAAAAATTAAGAATTTAACATGCAGTTGATTCCAACACTGGTCATTTTATTTCCACAATCTCTTTCTCTAAAATTAACTATAAGGCATAAGAAAAATATCCTCTGAGAGACATTATGTGTCCACCCTACCTGTATAACTGAAGCTTTAGACACTGAATTAGAGAAGCCATTGATTTATATAGAGAAGAAATTTTTCCAGCCACTCCTTTCATAGCTACTACTAACCCGTTCATGTCATATCATAAACAATGATAAAATTAAATAAAAACAGTTTTATTTCCTGAGGAAAATCACATTTTTCTGTTCCCATTTTCATTTTTTAAAATTCATTCTTTTAGTATTTTGTCATATTACGCAATTTCCAATCTATAATGATAAGTCTTTACGTATACCTTCACTAAATTTTGATCAATACTCGCTAATCTTAGCAATTTTACATTTATTCTACTAGTATTTATGCCATTTATTTGTAGAACTTTTAGACACATTCACATCTCAAATTGCGTGTGATTGTACAGCTGCAGTAAAGCAATTTATTGAAAAGAGTCTCTCCCCTGAATCATGTGTTTTCTTCTTTCTACCTGTCTCAACGATGATTTTCTATAACTTGATCTGTAATGAAAGATAGTCCGAAATCACTGAGTTCACCTTAAATCTCCTAATTATTGATTGTGTTCCTGAGATATTTCGAGCACATATTCGTCTGCCTCTCTTTCTCAAAGCCGTTAAAAAGTGCACAAAAATTCTGCTATCGGGGATAAAATTATAGTGTTCAGTTTCGTTGTCTACCTCAGCTTTATTCTTTGGCATACCAAATAATGTTATTCATCTTTCTTTCAAGATGGTCTGCTTGAATCATTAGGATATTTTGTCTAATTACTAGTGTTTTAACCCTTTAATTATATCCTTGAGTCGTAATATCAACTCATGCACATCTTTAATTGGCTTTCAAATTACTGGTACGTAAATCTTCGAGATGAAGGAGGTCTATCACAAGAGTCTATCCTTCAAATTGAATACTACTCCGTCATATGATATTTTGCAGATTGAAAACATTTCTTTCCCGTAGTAAATTTAGAACAAAGCAGTATAAGCTTAAATGGACTGATGGAACTGTAGAGAGATCGATTTATAGAAAGCCAACTTGAACGGGACAATTTGTACAGTCCAATAAAAATGTAGCCTGGTTAGAACACTATTCGGCAGAACAACAAGGATATATATTCAAATAGCAGACTAGACTATGAAGTGGAGTTTTTGAAGGAGACACTAGTGAGAAAAGGAGGGTATTCGGAAATGCTTATAAATAAGTATGCAAAAGACAATAAGGGAAAAGCAGTATCAGGGACTGTTTCTAAAAAGGTTCACATAAAGTTAATTTACAAGAGAAATAATGTTACTCAGTTGGTGAAATGTCTCTTGGAGAAGGTGCTGCTCACAAACACAACAATAGGGATAGCGCAAGCAACAAGGAAAGATAAGACATCGAAATGAGTATATCAGTTTTACATGTATTTTTGGAAGCAAATAAATTAGGCGTACGGAAGGATGTCTTTCCCCTCGCGTTGCCGAATACTGTTACAAATAGCTTTTTAGTGCTCATGATGACATCCGAAGGAGCTCAGTCACACGACATCTATCGGATAGTGATTGTACGGTGACGTTGAGTAAAAACTTCATAGTTATTAATAATCAAGGTAATAAAAAAATCGTTTGCTTTTGCTGAGGTCTGAACAATCAGATTAAAGAAGCCATGTGTGTTTACAAAAGAATACAGGGGTTACCTTGAATCTACCTTGATAGCATACTTTTATTTTACCCTGATAATTTCCCTTCACTTTTCCCTTCTCTTTACAATGCTTCTTCCATTATCATTATTATTTTATCAGAAATACTGTTAGTTTACTTTACGAAAATCACAGTTCAGTGTTAATCTTGGTGAGAAGTGTTCAAACTATCTTATGAGTTTAGATAAGGATAAACTGCCACTTTGGACCACTTCAATGTGGGTTTACAAATTCACATGCTCGTGTGGAGCTAGTTATATTGGCCGCACAAAGCGCACGCTTTCCAAACGCATCTCGGAACATTATCCAGCATGGTTAACAAAAGGACAATGCAAGGCAATTACTAGCTCAATCCTCGAGCACTTAGTGAACTCAAGTCACATAGCTCCACCAGAGTCATCCTTCAAGATCATCTACAAGGTGAGGCCAAATGGTACAAAGGGTGTTAGGTTTCGGCTTTGTGTATGGTGGAGGCGCTGGCAATTCGTCAGTACAACCCCGAAATCTGTATACAGAAAAAGTTTGTCCAGTCTCTTATTCTACCATGGTCTTAACCTTTTCATTAGTTGTTCCCTATAAAAAAATTTAAATTTTTTTAAATTTTCAATTTTACTTTCAGTTTGCTTTTACTTCACTAATTAATTCACTATTATCACTCTCATATGTTCCTTCTGTACATTTTGAAACTTATTAAATTGACACTCAACGACCTTTAACCTTGTCAAATTTCTAACCCTTTCTTCCTTCGTGCCGTTGAGTACTACGTAATTTACAACTTTTAATCTCACTTCTAGAGTCACTTCTGAGTAATTATAACTTATTGTGTCATTCCTACCCGACCTTCCGGATTATAACACATTGTATTTTTTAATTTGACCTTTGACCTGAAATATTTCTAGAATAGTACCACTACCTATTTCTGCTTATTACACTTAGTAAATTTATTAATTTGACCTTTCACCGGAAATAATTCTGTAACTTTCTCACACATTTAATATAAATACACGAATGTACAGCCTAGTGGATGACTTCGTCGAGAAGTAAATTTCCTTCGCTGAATTGTCGTTTATTTTCTCCATGACTCAATGGGTATTTTCAGTGATTAGAAAAGAGTCGTTTGGGCGTCGGTGGCATGGCGGTTAAGACGTTCGCCGACCATGCATATGGTCCGGGATTCGATTCCCGACCGACGCAATCCTTCATCTCGCTAAGCCGAAAATAATGCTGGTGAAGAGGAAAGGTTAGGGGTGAGGCTAGCAACCCCATTCAGTAAAATAAACACTGCTACAGAAACTTCATGCCACTAGCTTGAAGCCCTATGTTACATTGGGGAACGTGAAGGAAAGAAAAAGAAGATATGTTAAAATTTTATTATTTAGTCTTGTGTCGTTTACATTTGGTAAATCCATTTATTTATTTGTTTTTGTATGAAGCTTACTTGTATTTCAACATTAATATCGCAACATTATTGATACTATTACTATTATTTATTTATTTATTTACATAATTTAGGGTTCTGAGAAATTCTATAGATTCTACAGTAGCCGATCGTGGTCCAACTCCTGATTTCCGTCAAGAAATGGCTATTTTCTATGTGGTCTTCTTTATTGTATTTCCATTCTTTTTTGTGAATATTTTCGTCGCTCTTATTATTATCACATTTCAAAATCAAGGTGAAAATGAATTAATTGAACTGGATTTAGATAAAAATCAGGTCAGTGAAATTATACTACTTTTAATTTTTAAAGTAGTTTGTTTGCTTGACTGATAATTTTTTCGGCTACATTTTGACGTTTATTGCATATTAACTTCTAATAGAGCTTGAAGTGACGATTAAATTATTTCGATTGAAGCGAATAGGTTCTTATCACGATCTGATTACTAATGTAAAAATAGGTTTATGATAATGAATTGTATGCATTTGATTGATTTCAAGTGAAATTTACGTAGATTTATACATAAAAATTTTTAACCAATGATGGTGATTTCGTGGATCAAATAATAACAATAATAATAATAATAACAATAATAATAATAGTAATAATAATAATAACAGTAATAATGATAATGTGGTTAATGGTTTGAACGTAGTTAATAATGATGATTATAATAATAACAAAATATTGATAATAAGGTTTATGCAGGTGGCGATAAGAATAACAAAGGTAGTAATATATGTATATGTAGACAATTCAATAAATAAATTTGGTCAAATCTTAAAAGTTACGTAATATTAAGGGTGAAGTGGACAGATAATCAGACTTTAAATAAATAACATAAAAATACGAAGGAGATGGAAAATAAGAAAGGGTGGGAGGGTTTTGAATAGAATTCACCTAGGCAAGCAAGGGAGAGACAAAGGTAGAACAAACTTCTTTTGTATGCAAAGATTAGGATTATTCTGTCGAATTAATTCCCATAACTTCCACTATGTGTAAAAGACGGATTCGAATTCCGTTCAAAAGGCTCGTTGGAATGCGATAGATAACTTTGAAGGAACTATTTTTGTCCACTTGGTGACCGCTATCAATCAAATGAGCCAAAATAGAACTTCTTACAGATTTTATTTGACCTTTTCCAAACCATGAAGGAAGATGCTCATTAATGCATTTGTTGAACTACCCAGTTGTTCTTACTATATAGCTCTCTCCACAGGAGCAACTAAATTTATAGATACACATCGAAGTGGCACAGCTAGGTAGCTTGTCTTTCACTTGAGCAATCATAATTGGTCGGCTGGAAAATGACAAACAAAGGGTGGCGGCAGTCATTTTCCAGCCTTCAAAGTCCCATAGTTGTTTGAGACTCTCACTCTTGTCCCCACAATGGATAAAAACCACGTTAAGAGGTTAGCCTTTTTCTACCGTTCTTTCAATGAAATGTGATAGAATGTCAGACTGACTACTTGTAATTCAGATATAAAGATAAATGCAACGGTGTTGTATATGTCGAATAGGCGGAAGTTACTATTCATAGACCACTGGATGCTGTCTCCTTGGCTGAATGGTTAATAGGTTCAACTCTTAACCTGGAAGTCCTGGGTTGGATTCATAGAGGGTTGATTGGTGCGTGCTGTCGAAGAGTCGCCTGCTACAAAGGAAAAACTATCCAGTACTTCTTAGATTTTCGGTGGTTCTCTAACTGGCGTCAGTTTCTGATCTGACTTAAGTAATCATGGAAAATGGATCAAAGTATCTACTTAATAGTGTCTTGAGATTAGTGATTTTTTTCCTGGGATTTCTAAATTTTCAGCAATGACCAGCTGTTCTGCACAAATTAGTCTAGAAATTCATTTAAGTGGAATGCAACGTTACTTCTCTTCGTCTGCCAGCAGAAGTAATTAGGAAGTGCTGTACATATATGCTTAAAAATGAAATAGGAAATGTTTGTCTTTAAAATGAAATAGAATTTGATAATATTTTACTATTTAATTAGGCTTCTTATTCTACCATGAATATGTCGTCGGCAGTCTAAGCAGACATACAGAAGAACATTAACCACATAGGAAATGGCCTATGTTACACACCGTCACTTTAGATAACAAAACGTAAAGTCGGAGGTAATAATAAAGCGAAATGATATAAATATTGTTTGACGGAAGTTAAAAAATAAGAAAAGTAAAAAAAAAATAAAACAAACAACAAAGTAAAATGTTAACTTATAAGTGAAAAAAACAGGGCGTAAATACGCCTACATTTTAATTTCGCATTATTAACTTAAGTAACTAAAAGTTTTAAACTAGTATACTATGACTGAGAACAAGTTAAATGCGGAGGGGAGGAGGGGAAACTACTGTCTTCTGTCTAAAGTTAGACGCAGAATTTTTGGGCCTACTATCCACATGATTGTTTTGATACGTCACAATTATAAATTGGGTTTAGAGGATTGATAAAATTCCACTAATATTCACTTGGGTACGTTGGTAATCCGACAACAGATTGCTGGCCAGTCACGGATATGGTCAGTGGTTCGATCCCCGATAGACACCATCTTGAACTTCAGTCTTTAGTAAGACCAGTAAAGACAGAAGTCTCGGTGTGTAGTTGGCATTCCTATTCCGCTAAAAAGCCACCACGGACACCACTCAGAAAACAAAGCAGTGATAAAAATATTCAATTGCTTCATTAACCGTGGTGACTGAAAGCACATTACTCTGGTTTGAGTATGAGAACTAATCGGGAATTCTTCCCGACGACGACGAAGAAAATTTTCTTTTCGACGATTCATTTTCATAAGCTGTATAATCGTAATTACATTTAACGAAGAAGTTATTAAACCAATGAGATATTGGTAAAATTTATCCTTGAAAAACGTAATGCGTAAAGTAAGGTGTAATCTAGAAGCAGTGACTAATTGTATGTTAGAAAAGAGGCAGAAGCTGGCATGACGTAATAAGTTTGGGATTATGACTAATCAATAAGATTGCGTAGAATGGACAGGAACTAGCGGAAAGAAGATAAAATGTTTTTATATAAAATCTGTAGAAAACGTAATGTTATTAATAAACAGTAATAGAGTGATAATAAAATATGGATGACGAGAATAATAATGATAATAAAATAACAATAATATTAATAGTAAACTTATGTAATAAAAAGAAGCAAAATTGTAGTAAGAACGTTATTCTGGCCACGGTAGGGCGAGTAAATGAATGTAGTACTTTTGAATGCAGAGGTCCGTTTTCAGATCCCGAATAGCTAATGCTTCAGCTATGTACAGATGGCGTATGCGAAGTCCCTTTGTACGATATTGAGAGACTATGCGTAGCACTGTGGAGCATTCGTACGGCTGGTGCTTGATGTCCAGAGTTGACAAGGTTTTTTGAGGATGGAGCTGCTAATATTCTTCTTCTCTCCTCTGGCTAACCAAGCTCAACAATGTTCCAGCATACGTTTGCGCACTTGACGTATATATAGAGCAAAACTAACAGTATCTTTTACAGTGTGATAATATATTTTAATTAGTTCATGAGATTGTAAATACTTTGAAAAATATTTCACCTAAATGTGTACAAATGACAGCACAGTTGAACAGTCTGCTCCGCGTATTTGAGGTGTCTGTTTTTGAATGGCATTTGTAAGGTATAAGTATGCTTCAATCACGATTTGTATTAATAGGAAAACTACATTGTTATAAACACCCATCTAGTTAACTGATTCATTTGTGCTTAGTATCACAATTATACATCTCATCCAACAGCTGTACGACAATGCTGCATGCCAAGTAATCCACAACGGGAAACTTACGGAATCCTTCGAAGTGAGGACAGTAGTAAGACAAGCTGGCTGGCTGCCTACTATCGCCAATGATTTTCCTGATTGCAGCAGATTGGATAATGCGACAGACAACGGGCAGCGAGGAAACAGGCATAAAGTGGACGTACACAAAATACTTGGAGGATCTGGACTTCGCCGACGATATATGTCTGATTTCCCACAAACTCGAAGATATGAAAATGAAAAGCAAAAGGTTGGCAGAAGAAGCATCTAGGGAAGATAAGACTTCAGGTGAACATAGAGAAAACAGAGGTGATGAAGATTTCTGGACAACAACAGACAACAATCAGCATAAATGGAAGGAACGTGAAAGAAACAACCTCCTTCACATACCTACCTGGGAAGCATCGTTCCAACTACAGGTACACGGAACTGACGAGGATATCAAAGCAAGAATCAGAAAAGCAGAACAAGCTTTCACTACTCTCAAGTCTGGGTGGAGGTCAACAGGACTCAGCATCAAAAATAACATCCGGATTTTCAACTCCAATGTGAAGTCAGTCAGTGCTACTCACTATACGGATCAGAGACTTGGCCAGTGCGTCATAAAGAGCATCTCAAACAAACTACAGACCTTCATTAACAGTTGTCTTCGCTCAATACTCCGCTCAAGATCTGATGGCCGGCCAGAAAACATCAGCAACAGAGATCTCTGGCAATGAGCGAACCAACTCAGCAGGAACCGATTGTGAAACAAATAGGCAGGAAGAAATGGAGATGGATTGGCTGGTCATACTCTGAGGAAACCATCAAGTGACATCACTAGACAAGCCATTGCTCGAGTGGAACGCGAAAAGGAAGCGGCGAGTTGATCTTCCAAGGGTGACTTGGAGGAGGTCATTTGAAGAGGAGAGGAAAGCATGTTTGCAGACCTGGAGCCATGTGAAGACTCTATCAGAGAACCGAAGGCAATGGAGACGCACGGCTGAAGCCCTATGTTCCTCTAGGAATTAAAGGATACAATAATAATAATAATAACCACAGGTGATAAGAATAAATCACTGTATAAATAACCAACTTTTTACAAAAGGCACTTGAATAATAATTATTTCATAATTGACAGTGCATTTAGTAAATGGAGAAAATATTCTAATATATTTCTTTTTAAGTGGTCTGTTTCCTTGACATCTTTTCAACTAAATTACTTAAAGCTATCTGATAAAAAAACTACTTCCGTCGACTATATGTTACAGTGGCAATTAACACTACTGTTACGCTATATTCACAATATGTGAGTGATACTCATAGGCACAGGAACTTAGATATATTTCTTTTTGATCATTCATGCCATGATAGTGCGAACTGTAACAAGTTGTGTTTCATGGGCGATATATCAAGCGAGTTAATTACGAAGAAATTAAGAAAATCAGTTCAAAGAACTTTTAATGCTGGCGAACTACACATCTTATTCTCTACACGACCGATCGTGCTACCTCGA